GATATTTATGTTCTTCCGACACTTAACAGCAAATTTTTTCTACGAATAAATTGAAGAATTAACCTTAAGATGTTTTTATAAACTTTATTTTCGCATAATTCTGTTCACAAAAGAAAACTTTACACAAAAAATAGTCTTTATAATGGCTGTTGGTTTGAATTAGCTAGTGTCCATTATAAGCAGTGATTCACGATAACGTTGTTTATATGCTGATGGTCGAAACTGGTGATGTCGAGCATACGCCAAGTACCATATAACACAGGCCACGTGGGCACAGCACCCACACGTACGTTCGCCCGCTGGACACTGACAATACCAAGATTTTATTGGTTGATTTTCATAGAATTTTTCTACTAATGTTTCGTCTTCATCATCGCTTTCAAATTCGAGGGGTTCAACTTCATCCATCATGAATTCAATCCAGCAGCAATATTAAGTAGAACCGGAATGACGTGAGTCAGTTTTACATCGAATCAATGTGTCTGTTTCTTTTATAACTTCAACTTCATAATCTCCGTCATTTTTATTCAGATGAGCTTCGGAGTATGTTTTTGCCTGCTTTATCTGATACACACCAAAACACAGGTCTCTCAGTTGATCTTCTGTCGTCTGTGGAAAATCAATTTGAGTCCCGTCTAGTTTTTCCCATTTGCACCTCGAATTAAATGGACGTTCCAACACTCTTTCCTTTAATGTATTGACTGATTCTACTCGAATTTTCATTATTTTTGCCAGCTTTTCTTCTTTTTCGGGGTCAGTTGGTTTAATAAGCGGTGGACGGAACGCATTTAATGCTGCTGTGATGATTTTTACACACGGCACAATTTTTTCGAATAATGAATTCGGGATAGTTTGATAAAGAAATTGAAACTTTTTTAATCGTCCATGATACATTTCGATTGAACAACGAATTTTAGTAATCAGTCGTGTATGATTTGCTTCTTCAACTGAATGTTGTTTTGATTTTAAAAAAGTTGGCATTTTACAATCAACGCCCATTTGTTCGAAAAGCTCGCGTACACGATCAAAACCCCGGTCAAAAATTACACAGTTTCCAGGTTGACACCATTTTCTTAATTCAGTATCATTTTCCAATAAATATTCGGTAATTTGTGCATCATTTTTAGAACCTGGAAAAGGTCCTTCAACTGCTAAAACATATCCATCGGATAAAGTTTCTGACAAGGTTTTTACGTAATGCTTCTTTTTCTGACCAGAATACGTTTTTTTTTGTAGCACATTATCGCCGCTTTTGTTGATAAATAAGTATGTGGCATCTAACATTATTTTATTACCATCTCCAAAAAACATTTTTGAATAGATTGTGTCATGTGACTCTATTTGTTGAGGAGTTAAATGATTGAATCCTAAAAATTTTGGTACAAAATGTTGTAGCAAAATATTCATCACAGGATTCTGAGACACGTTTTCCTCGATCCTCAGCACTCAAGTCATAATTAAACAGTGTACCAATTTGACTGTAACTCAAGTTTGTCTTCATTTTCACCCAATAAAGTATTAATGCATCAGCCACCGAACGATGTTTACTGTCTCTCATCACTTTTGAATCTGATATTGTTGTGTACATTGTTTGTAAATCTGATTTCTTCCAACCAGTCCAACTTTTCAGGTCTTCTTCATCAATTAACGGATTATCGAGGGAAAGTAGTGAACGATTTCGTTTGTTCTTTATATCATTTTTCAACTGAAAAATTAAATTGGAAGCTTCTTCGATAGTAAGCATTGTTGGTTCATATTGCCTGGTATCAATGGTAATATCCGGATTTAAACGTGTACCTTTCAAATGAGAGCCGCAACACTTTTGCCGAGCATAAACGTAGACATCGTGTTCTACAAATAAGTCTAAACGAGCTTCAGATGGCAAAAAACTGAACTTTTTGCTAAATGATTTTGACAAAAGCAGCAAAAATTCACTTGCGTGGGAATTTGAAAACATTTTTGAGCTGGAATAATTGGATTTGGAACTGATAACGTGGAGTCTTTAAACACACGTTCATTTTCTTCGTCTATCTGTTTCTCCTCCCTTCGATATTTTGCTTCACAAGCTTTACATAAATAAATTAAATTATCGTTGTTAAAAGTTATTCCTTTCGACTCAAGCCGATCACGTAGCCACTCGTATGCAGGTGTTGAAATTTCCCTAAATGTGTTGCTTTTTGTAAGATCAATAGTTTTGGCACACTCCTTGGCAATACAAGAACATCGGGTTGACGGCATTTCACATATAAATGTGAAGTTGTTTTGTACAGAGTAGGATAATGTACAAATACGCACAGAAAGAAAGATGGGTATTTTTGTTGAACAAAAGGAATAAAAATAATTTTGTTCTTCTTTTTATCCCATTTCCGGATTGTGCACGTGGCAAAACATTGCTTCTTTTCTCTCAAAGACGATGAGAGAAAAAGAAAAACCGAACGTATTATTTCCTCTTATCTAACGCAGATTGTACTCAATTTTGTCATTTTAGGCTGTTTTAGACGGGTAACGTCCAACTCCTAACCCGCATGCCTAACACTTGTGTAAAGTTTTCTTTTGTGAACAGAATTATGCGAAAATAAAGTTTATAAAAACATCTTAAGGTTAATTCTTCAATTTATTCGTAGAAAAAATTTGCTGTTAAGTGTCGGAAGAACATAAATATC